TTGACCAGAGATATGGGTACTAGTCCATCAGATTTATTCAATATCAGTGCGTTTCATTTGTAAATCGTGAAATTCTATTAAATTCATACAGTTTTTCAATGTCCTCCAAAAAAATCCTGCCGCTGCCGCGCCGCTGCCGCGATGGTTTTTTAAAAAACCTGCCGCTACCGCACCGCTGCCGCGATGACTTTTAAAAAAATCTGCCGCTGCCGCGGTGATTTTTTTTAAAAACCTGCCGCTGCCGCGCCGCCACCGCCACCGCGGCAGCGGCGCGGCAGCGGCAGCGCCGCGATGGACATCTCTGGTTTATAATAGAAATCTAAAATAAAAAGTCAAATGACATTTTATTTTTGTCATCAAAGTGTAAAATGACACATTCTTTTTTTAAACAAAATATCATAAAGTTTCCAAGGTGTTTATTACGAGAATTGGATTTAAAAAAAAGATATATTTCATATGAATTTATCAGAGTTTTCCTACTGGAAGAAAGGATCATATTCCAATTTCGAAGTTTGGGTTTTTGACAAACGAACTTTCAGTGGTTTTTTCATTTTTTCATTATTAATTCTAAATACATTGCTGTAATCTAGAAATTCTGGTCGAATCTAAAAATGTCTTCCAATCAGTTTTTTGAGTCGTTGATCTCGCACCCCCTTCTCTTAAACCTTGTAGACATCAAGATTAAGGTTGCACTTTAATTTTAAAACTACTTTGACGCATTACTTTCAGTTAATGTTAATCATTTTAAGCTTTAAAGTTCAAGTAGATTTTTCCACAAGATTTGTTTTTTGCAAAAAGATAGTATTTCTTTCATTAAAAATATCATTTCTTCACAAAAAGGATAAGTTTTTCACATGCATTTATTTTTTATGAAAAAAATAATTTCTTTACAAAAAAAATTGTGAAGAAATTTAATTTAACTTTAACGTTTTGAAAGTTAAAGTTTAAGGTGCTCCTATTTTTATTTTACTTTAAATTTATAGTTAAAGTGTTACGCCTAATAGAGACGCTTTTGGCACTTACTTATAGAATCCAATAGAAAATATACAACTTTAAATATTTAGTGACATCCGATGAAGAATTCTTTTATCTAATTATTTCATAAACGAGATAAAAGAAACATAAAATAAAAATCGACAGGACTTTACTATAAACACGGAAGATATATTTTGTATAGAGAACACTGCGTCTAAAGTAAACTCGTACCAAGCTTTCACATGGGTCCCCTAAAAAGCGGTGTCAAATATGAAAGAGTAATAAAATTTGAAAGACAGGAACACGTTTCAATAAATCCAAAGTTTAACTGACAGATATCAAGATATTGAATACATTACTATGAATCACAAAATTTAGAAGTTAGAATCGCGCTTGTAAACGATGTAAAGCAAAGTGTAAAATAGAATGTCAACCAAATATTGCAAGGTTCTTATGGCTACTTTGTCACAATGGTGGATCCTTACTGTTAGAAACACTGACTAAGGCTACAAATGCAATCATGGATTTCACATTGACCAATAATAGTATTTTAAGATAAATGACCTAG